TTTGATTCTTTTTGAAATATTAATTATATTACAGTGTTTTGACTAGTAGGGCGGCCCAGTGGTCCAGTGTTTAGTCAACCTCACAGTGCAGAGGTACCGGGTTCGATTCCAGCTCTGGCATTCCTGTGTGGAGTTTGCATGTTCTCCCCGTGCCTGCGTGGGTTTTCTCCGGATACTCCGGTTTCCTCCCACATTCCAAAACCATGCATGGCAGGCTGATTGAACTCCCTAAATTGTCCCTAGATGCGAGTGTGTGTGTGTGTGTGTGTGTGTGTGTGTGTGTGTGTGTGTGTGTGTGTGTGTGTGTGTGTGTGTGTGTCCCCTGCGATTGGCTGGCAACCAGTTCAGACTGTGTCCCGCCTACTCCCCGAAGACAGCTGGCATAGGCTCCAGCACGACCTCGCGACCCTTGTGAGGATAAAGCGGATCAGAAAATAGATGGCTGGATGGATGGATGTTTTGACGAGTGTTGGCTCATAAATCATATTCTTACTTTGAACATTTTTGGGTTTTGTTACCCTTTAATTTAGTCATCTACCTGTTCTCAGCACAGATGGAATCAAGTCATAACTCTGTAAGTCTTAGGAGTTGCTATTATTGCTGTAACCTTCAAGTCTCAAGCAAGTCCAAAGTCATTCTGTCTTGGGCAAGTCAAAGGTTATCGTAATTCAAGTACTGCTCAGGCAAGTCACTTTATTAATGCAGTAGTAGCTGCAGTATCTGGGATTCACAGATAGACACATTATCGTGGAAGGCTTCGCAGCGGCCACCTTGACATTTCCCACAAGTGGAGATCTTGCAGTTTCTTATAAATGTACTTTGTGTGTACTGATCTCCGACATTTTTAGTTTACAATACTGTTAAAGGTTTGCGTGGTGGTAGTTGGAGGACACCAAAAAGCATCGAGGCAGGGAGGAGCAGGGTGGACTGAGCAAAATGTATTTAAAAAAAAAAATACAAACTAAGGCTGACACAAAGACAAACACAGTGACAAACACAATGACCCAACCTCGATAGGTCGGGCAGGGAGTCCTTTTAACAGAAACACTAACTAATGACACAACGACCAACTGTGTTGTTCATTAATGACCAACTGTGCCACTGCGGGAAGAGCCCTACAGTGCCACCTGTTGGTCACAAACAGAACCACCCTAACAGTACCCCTCCCTCAAGGGATGGATCCCACACGTCCCAAAGTCACCCAATGGCATGACTCGGCGGGGACAGCCCGGGTTGGGGCACAGCACTTGCATCGCCAGGGACGGGAACAGAAGGCAACCGCAAAACTTGCCTCGCTGGGGTCAGGAACGGGTGGCAGTGGGACCAGGCCTCTGGTCCTGCGGGGTACAATCTGGTCGGGTCATTCTGTTAAAGGTTTGTGTGGTGGTAGTTGGATGGCCCCAAAAAGCAGGGAGGCAGGGAGGAGCAGCGTGTACTGAACAAAATGTATTTAGCAAAAAATACAAATTTTGGCGGACACAAAGACAAACACAGTGACAAAACACAACGACCCGACCTCAACAGGGAGTCCTTTAAACAGAAACACTAACTAACAAAACAATGACCAACAGGTGTGCCACTGCAGGAAGAGCCACCTGTTGGTCACAAACAGAACCACTCTAACAAATACTTCATGACCTGGTTTGAGGCCATGAATTATACAAAGATGGCCATTTGTTACAAGGTGTCAACATAGTGGTCAATAACAGTGGGAATAAAATTAGGTTGTTTTCTTTCAATTTTGTTCTTCACAATTTTTATAGATCAGGGAGTTTACAAAGGAGAAATGGAAAATACAGACAAAGTGATTTTTTTCACATTAATGTAAGTGTGGAGGAACAGCATCTAATAATTGTCTGTGAAGCTTTTTACTTTTTAAAGTGACCTTAATTAGTGGTACAGTAGAGTTGTTTTATATTCCTCTACGGCAGCTTTTCACTCAGGCCTACAACAATGAACCAGTTTCGTTGCCAAGTCGGGAGCCATTTGGCCCTGGAAAAGAAGCATGTGAGCTCCCTCATGAGACAATAACACTTAGAATGCATAACTGGGAATATAACCGGAGTACCTTTGAAGAGCCGGGTAATCACTAACATGCTTTCAACAGATGTGTATAGGTCATCACAGTTCCTCCAAGAATTTAGAGAATCTAGATTGTTCACTGTAAAAGACTTGCAGCCTACTATGCACTGTTTCAGAGCTTTTCATACTGCATATTAGTACTATTTATCATGCTATAAACATAATACAAAGTTTCTCAAGTGATTGTGCTGATATAGTTTCACCTCCAAGTTGGCACGACAGCTTTTAATGGCTAAATGAATTCTCCTTCTATCTGTAAAGGAGTGACAGTTACAGCTCATCCAAAAGCTGCATTCAAAGTTGTGAGTGATTCGGATTTGGGTCAACAAAACAACCGCATGGGGAGACTTTACTTGAAAATAAGAACTCCAAAATAATTTACATACATGACTCAGGTTACTTTACAGAAACTGTCCAATGCTGAAACAGACATGAAGTCCGCCACGTAGCGAGCATTGCCAATGTATACCAAATATGAAGGGAACTCTTCAACTTGGACATTTAAATTAGAAAAAAAAACCCATATTAATTAATGAATTAAATCCTATTTTATTTATGATTTATGTTTATGTTACAGCTGTGGTTGTTGTTAAAGTGCTCTATATTTGAAGGTAAGGCACAGGCAACACATGCATTGATCAGACCTGTATCGTTGTTATTTGACAGTTGTTGAAGCACTCCTGCTTGCTGAACCAAAATATTGAACCCAAAGTATAAATGCATACATGCTAATAGTATGATTCTCTGGACCTTGACTTCAGGAATTTCCATGGATTTGACCTGTTAAAACTCAAATTTCACAGTGTTGAACAACAGGAATCATTACAAAATTTACATGGGGTACTTGGCCCATTATTTGACAGTGTGTCTCTGGGACTCAGAGATTGTGATTTGATCGAGTATTACCCATTTGTATGTTTTATCAGGTGGTCATGTGGACTCTTACTGAACTCAGACTGTTCAAAACCACCCTCATACTTCTCTTCCACAAATGACAGATGTGAAACCAGATAAAATAACTGTGGCTAGTTCACTGCTGAAGTCGTTAAATCTGCTTGAACCACAATTGAAATATTTTCAACAACTGGTGCTTTGCCAAGAAAAACACAAATCCTTGTGCTGCTCGGATTAGCAAATTGGAATGGTTTCTGGTGGTGATGATACAGTTGAGTCCGTGTATACATACAGTTTCCAGATACTGTAGTTCAGATAGAGGGGAGAAAAACCTTTACCCTCACCCTGGACTGCATAACAACTGTGCTGTCCTCTCTTACCTTGGCAATAATGACAAACAGTTGAACAGCATTTAACAGAGTTACGCCCTCCAAGATAATCACCAAATTCACAGATCTGGGCAAGTGTGTTTTCATATTATTGAACTTTTTGACAGACTTGCCCCAACCTGTTTGGCTATTCAGCCACTGCTCCTCCACTCTAACCCAAAATATTGCCAACCTATTGACTAAAACCACCACGATCAGCTTTTTCCCCACTGCTGTGTCCCAGCTTAGCTCCTCGCTCCCCACGCACTTCCACACAGGCAGTGTCCCCCCCTCCCACACACACACACACACACACACACACACACACACACCCCAGTCTCGGATTGAATTAACTGCACTACCTCATTGAGTTGCATCTTGGATTTACATAAAATTGCACAATCGAAAACGGGGGCATTTTGATTCTCACGGAATGTTACAATAGCGATCATTTGAAAATATAAGATAATATTTACGCAGAGTCATAGAAATGTACACTTGCACACTTATATTTGTGTCCTACCTTGTAGAATCATTGTTGATCATTTTTGTGAGAAATCATGAAACACGATTAGGTTTTCCCATAGTGTAGTTGGATATTAATAGTTTGATAAATACTGCAAAGATAATTTGAGCAAGTTTGTTATTTCAGAAGTGCGTACCAAACTGGTAGCTCCTTGTATTATTAACCTGTAGCCAAGAAGTACCTCTTAGTTTCAAAAAGGTCGGTGACCTCTGCTCATCATCATACTCAGCCTGTCCATAACATGTACAAACCTGTTGAACGAGGCACTCATGTTGACATATTATATTATGTTCTATTATCTTCAATACCAAGCTGTATATAATGTAGATCCTATTTAATTATTGCCTATACCCTTCTGGTTGGATCTGATCTGCATTTTGCTGCCACGTCCTTGTGACGTGCAATGACAAAGTTGTATTTTATCTAAAAATACAAAATTGAACAGAACACAAGATGCACCCTCTTAGGTAAATCATCACCAGCAGACTTCTGGTTCTACAAGGACAAAGTCACAATAATACAGAATCTACAGATAATGAAATAAACAGGTAATTAAATTTTTCAAAAAAAGATTAATCAGTATAGTGTTTCTTCTGCACCTCTTCTCCCTTAGCGATTTCCCTAAATTCCTGTATAAGCCAATTAAATACGGTCAAAGTTGGTCTATACACTTCATGAAGATTCCGCCATTTATTTACATGTAAAAAAAAGTCTGCCTGTGATATTTTTTGGGGTAGTTAACCCGTTCACTGAGCAATGAGACATGCAAAAAGTTGTGATTGTTATGCATCAGTAATCAGGATGAATCTACCATCATTGCAAAGCAGTTAGATAATATTGCCCATACTCAAATGATTCATGTCCTTCAATTTGTGAGTTCAATTGTTTTTTTTAATTTTTATTTTGTAACCCTTGAAGGAATCTTATTTAAAAAGCTAGCAACCCAGTATGTTAGGACAAATGGTAGCACATAATTACTGTAAACGTTAAAGGACATAAAAATCACTTTTAGCCAAGGTTTAATGATCATAAATGCATTTGTGCTCTCATGCTGGAATCTCGGGTCAAGTTGAAATGATAAAGGTGTATGTGTCATGTGAAATCCTTTTTTTGCCTATTTTCTTTTTCAGATCTCTGTGATTAACACTCCCTGTGAACTTGGCACACCGCGACTCCATCTGCAGCCCAGTGGGAGGTCCAAAACAACCTTAGAAGGCCTCTGGCGTTAGGTTGGTCCGTGGGAAGCTGAGAGTGATGAAGACTTGTTTTGTGTTTGTTGCAGCTCTGCTGTACACCACCATCCAAGCATGTGAGTTTTGAGCTTTTCACTGACCTATTTCAAAACAGAGTACTTAAAAATCTGAGATTCATGATTAAGAGTATTAATCGTCAAAATCATGCCGAAGTAATTTTCGAATATACCGCTAATTTGTTAGGGGCTTTTTACCCATCATTGGGTCACTCACCCATTGCAAATAGCTGAGGAGGCCAGACAAAGACGACCTCATATCCGTTCAAAACAAACATTTGGACCTCTGTGTCCTTCGCCAGGACACTGGTCACCAAAGACCCCCTTTTGGGGTTAGGCCTTGAAGTGAGGCTTGATGGAAAGCGCCTGGCGGCTGGGCCTCCACCCATGAGGTGCAGCCGGAAAAAAGTGGAAAAAGTAAAACATGACTTCCCCTTGCCATGGCTGTGTCCAAATGTCCATACTATTCCCTATATAGGGCACTATTAAGGGGTCACGGCATTTTGTTGGAGTGTTCGAATGTCCAAGATTTAAAAATAAAATGTAGTTCACTCAAAATTATCCATAATGCACTTGGGAAACTAATGCGCATCGATGATCACTCAACAGGTTAATAGAGACCACAATGGATTGCTAGCAAGCAAAACAAATGGCGCAAGCGACAGCGCAAGCGTCAAAGCGATATAGTAAGCATGGAAATAATTACTTTTATTTAATTTAAAGTATGTACAACAAAGGAAATAAGATTCAGCTTTAAATAAACATTTTCTATTCACAATAAATAGTTGGACATCTCAATGTGCTGGTGGTGCATCTTTACAAATACGGTGGTCACGTGATATGCGACAAGGAACAAGTAGTTAGCTGGCTGTCCAAATAGCCAAACAGAATGAGGGAACTACGATTTAGTGCGAGACTACATAGTCAATGAGGGGTTAGGGGATAAGGGTGGACATTCGGAAAAAGCCAATGTTTTTTATTGAAGGTAGAAAGTATGAAGCGGAAATGACGTCCATTTGTGCCATGACGTTATCTGTACAGTTTGGATCAGGATATCTCACTTGATCTCAATTATCATGGACCGTATATGCGAGTAACTCTGTCCGCTCACACATGGTTTACTATGAATATTTCAGAAACTGGCATTCTGACCTTAACCTGAATATGCATGCACTGCATGTAAACTATGTGGCAAACCATGTGAATGTTGCAAATACAGGAGTGTGAAAATGAGTATTATCAGCGTGTGGTGTAAAACAGGAAACATGAGTATAGCGTAACCCAAAAGACAAATTAAATCCTGGAACACGAACGGTGCAAAACCCAAACTCAGCTGGCCTCAAACATCACCAGCTGAGAATCACTGCTTCCACTCTTCGTTTGTATCAGTGTCATTGAAATGCGTCGAAACTTTAATGTGTCCCCTGCGGCCATTCATTTACTCATATTTCAAGCATAATGTCTCATTTGCAGCTTCCTCCTTACTGTTTCCCTCTCTGTGCAGGAATTTTAGCCACAGCATTTCTGGATGTCTTGATACAATGCTCATGTAACAATTGTCATACCACTTACATACCTTGCAGAGGAACTCTTTCCAGCTCCTCTCTGAGCCCTTGGTATTTCTCCAGTTTCTCGTGTTCCTTCTTTCTTGATGTTTCAAGTGATTCCATCACTTGGGACCGCTACATCCACTACAACGGCTTTCCTCTGCCCTTTATCTATGATCACGATATCCGGTTGGTTCGCCATTACCATCTTGTCAGTCTGGATCTGGAAGTCCCACAGGATCTTCGCTCTGTCATTCTCCACCACCTTTGGAGGTGTTTCCCATTTTCAGAGGATGAGGAAACTGAAAGGTACTGTTGGTATATCTGGGCCTCAATGGCTCTGGTGCTCAGGGCCTGCTCCTGAGCAGCCAGGATGAGTGCCTCTGTGCTGTCCTTCAGGGCAGCCCTCTCTCGCCACTGATAGGACTTCTTGAGATCAGCCACTTCAGTTATGGTCCGGTGGTACATCCCGTGTAGGGGCATGTCCTCCCAGATGGTCCCTCTTTCAGCACCTCATCCTCCGTTCCCCATTGTCTGAGACATTGTCTGAGTACGTCATCCGTGTGTGTGTGTGTGTGGGTGTGTGTGTGGGTGTGGGTGT